ACCATAGAAGAAAATTTAGATGAGTTCTTGAAAATGACCCTTGTACTCAAAGGCACTAGTCAAGAAATCAATGAGTCTAGCTTAGCCATGATCCTTCTGAACTCTATTACCGAGGAGTATCAGGTGGTCAAGAATGCCCTCCTTTACACTGGAACAATCCCTAGTCTAGACTTAATTGCATCAGGATTAAAGGTTAGAGAACTAGAGCTTAGGATTCAAAAGAAAAACAACAACAGTTTGTTTGTAAAGGGAAAGGGAGATTTTAGGCAATCTAAGAGTAATCCACACTTTTAACACTGGTTCTAGGAATAAAAAGAAGAGTAAGATCACTCATAAGACTAAAAGAGAGACAAGAAAATGTTTCTTCTATAACAAAACTGGACACCTGAAGAAAAATTGTTATGATTGGATTAGAAAAACAAAAACAGAAGAACACAGAGAGTAATATAGCCTTTAGTAAGAATTATGTCGAAGAATCAGAAGTCCTGACTGTATCAAGGTCTGATAACATAGAGGAATGGGGGGTTTCTTTTAAGCATCCAGTTGTTACAGGTTAGTGAGAGAAAATGATCTCTCTTCTCTCTAGGATTAGTGAAACAGTCCACCTTCCATCCTTTTTCCCCTCCACCCACCTCTCCTCTCTCCACCTTCATCACCCATCCTCCACCTTTACCAGTGTAAGAAGTCCTGACTGTATTAAGAATTTAAATCATCAAACGTCAAAGCACTAATAATATATCCATAAAGTTCATAGAACAAAATAGGGCATGAGGAGCATAAATCCACCTCATTCAAAAGAATATCTTGTCAATTTAATATCTTTCTATAAGTCTTTGTTTTTCCTCAAATACGAGTTCAGAGACATCAGCATTCTCTAATTCAATTTTAAGCCAGTTCCAATACGTTGCATCACAGGAATAGAACTCCCTCTACATACATTAAAAATACATATTGTTATTCNTAGCAAGTATTTTTATTGAATAAAATATGAGATTAGATTGTTGTTTGACGTCTTACTCATTGAGAGCACTTTCAGTTTTGTCAATACTTATTTTTGTTCATACGTCTCTTAAAGGCAACAATGGTATCAGAGCTTTGTTGCGATCTTGCAACTATGGCATCCAATCTGGTGCAACTTCAAGTTCTGCTGCTGAAAAAAGACAATTTTGGGAGATGGTGTACCCAATTCAAAGCTTTATTTGGAACACAAGATTTGTGGGATATTGTCAACTTGGGGTTTACTGATCCTACTCCAGAAGAAGAAGAGACTTATACCCCAGAATAGAGGAATGCTCTCAAGGATCAACGCAAGAAGGATAAGAAAGCTCTCTTTCTACTCTACCAAGGGTTGGATGATGACACATTTGAGAAAATTTCAGAGGCTAATTCCAGCAAAGAAGTATGGGACAAACTGGCTATAATCTACAAAGGAGTAAAACGAGTGAAGAAGCAACGTCTGCAGACATTGCGAGGAGAATTTGAAACTGCCCACATGAAGGAAAGAGAGGCTGTTTCTGATTATCATTCACGCTTAATCAGCATTGTGAATCAAATGAAACGAAATGGTGAAAAGCTTGAAGATGTTAGGGTGATTGAAAAGATGTTGTGTTCTCTCACTCCAAGTTTTGAACATGTAGTGGCGGCAATTGAAGAATCAAAGGATCTAGAGATCATGACCACCGAAGAGTTGTTGGGGTCATTGCGAGTACATGAGCTACGCATACGCAGGCATGATGAGGTTATGGGTTGTGAACAAGCCTTGGAATCGAAGATGTCATTTGATGGTGGCGGACGGGGCAGAGGACGTGGTAGTCTCACTTCTCGAGGATGAGGAAGGGGACATGGGAGTCCAAGCAAACCCCGAAATCTCCAATTTGGGGAAGGAAGATCTGGAGTACAATGTTGGAATTGCAAATCTATCGTCATTATGCCTCTGAATGTCCAAGCAAGGAAGATAAAACAGCAAACTTTGCTAAAGGTTCAAACAATGTCGAAGATGAGCCATCACTGTTATTTGTTCACGATGAACCACTTGAAGGGGGAGATTTATGGTACTTGGATTCGGGAGCCAGTAATCATATGTGTGGACGAAAGGAAATATTCGTCGAACTACATGATCACATCTGCGGACAAGTGACTTTGGGAGACGCCTCCAAATTAGCAGTAGCTGGGATAGGGAAGATAGCAATTTATCAGAAGAATGGAGCAAAAACATTTATCTCTAACGTGTATTACATTCCCAACATGAAAAGCAATATTCTGAGTCTTGGACAACTACTTCAAAAAGGACACATCATTCATATGGAGAATAACCTGCTGGAGTTGAGAAGTGCAGAAAGGTATCTTATTGCAAGGGTCAGAATGACCAAGAACAGAATGTTCCATTTGTATCTCAACACAAAGCTTGAACGATGTCTTGCAAGCATTATTGAAAGTGAAGCTGGAAGATGGCACTTACGTTTTGGGCATCTTCATTTTCATGGATTAAAGTTGTTATCTACAAGAAGTATGGTTCGTGGTTTACCAAGTCTAGAAGTTCCAAACCATATTTGTGCAACCTACGTCATTGGAAAACAAGCCAGATTACCTTTTCCCACTGGAGGTACATGGCGCGCACAAGAGACTCTACAACTTGTGCACACTGATATTTGCGGGCCATTAGAACCAAAGTCTTTTGGAGGTAATCGATACTTTATAACGTTTATTGATGATTTCAGCAGGAAAGTATGGGTGTACTTTTTAAAGGAGAAGTCTGCTACTTTTGATGTTTTCAAGACATTCAAAGCCTATTCTGAGACCGAGAGTGGAAACAAGCTTGTAACAATCCGGTCAGATCGCGGAGGAGAGTACACCTCTCTTGTTTTTCAGAATTTTTGCTAAGAACATGGCATTCAACATCAACTCACAGCTGCATATACACCTCAACAAAATGGGATTGATAAACGAAAGAACCATACGATCATGGACATGACAAGAACACTCCTCAAGGAGAAGAATCTGCCAAAGGTTTTTTGGGCAGAAGCAGTAGCTTGCTCAGTGTACCTACTCAACCGATGCCCAACCAAAAGTGTGAAGAACAAAACACCCCAGGAGGCATGGAGTGGGTTCAAGCCAAGTGTGGCACATTTGAAGATTTTCGGGTGTGNACGGTTAAATGTGTGTTCGCACATATTTAATTAAATCACCATTATTGTTAAATATTGATTGATTTTAATTGAGATAATGATGAATTAAATTAAAATATCTAATTGGGAGTGTTTGGCAAATTTAAGGGTTTTTTGGTTGGAGCCCAAGCCCATTCCATATGGGAATAGGGCAACTAAAATAACACTATAAAAGAAAAGTTTTAGTTGAAAAATAGTAAGAGTTTTTATTATTTCATTTGATTGAAAAAGAGAAATCCTCCAGCCCCAAAAGCACTCTCCCACGCCATTTTAATGTTTGATTGAAAATCAAACACTTTCTTTTTGTTTTCTTCTTGATTTCTTAAGGCCAAAGAGGATCTAGCAAATCCCTCCTTGGTTCTTGTTGATTGTCTTCGTGTGGACCTCTACGGTTCGATCCTACACTTGGATCGGTAGCAAACACATTTAGAGACAATATTGGTGGAGCCTCCAAACGTGGGTATGGTTTCTTAAACCTTGAACTGATTTTTCTGCAGATTTGATTATTTTATATAAACTATGATTTTTGTACCCGGATCTTGGTTCTAAGGAACGATCCATAGAGTTTATGTTTTTGTTTTCCATTGCGTAACTGGGTCGTTTACTAACAGTGGTATCAAAGCCTCGGGTATCAAATTTTACAGTTTGTTGTATGATTTATAACATGTATTTGGTTGATAACATGTTATTTTTGAAAAATCTACAAAATCTGCAAAATCTACAAAATCTGAAAAATCTGTTTATGGATGAATGATTCAAATGTAATAATGTGTTGATGAATGATATATTGGTTGGTTAATATTCTGGTTGAACGTATGTGCGTTTGATTTGATTTGGATTCGTGTTTATACATAAAAACTACAAAAACGCGAACTGTACGAATTGGGGATTTCCAGGTCTCACCCCGACGAAGATAAAACCTTCGCCGCGGCGAAGTCTATGGTGGCGAAGTAAATACAGTAGAACCTCACCGCGGCGAAGATAAAACCTTTACCGCAGCGAGGTCTGTAGCTTCCTCGCTGCGGCGAAGATAAAACCTTTGTCGCAGCGAAGTCTGTAGCTTTTTCAATTCTGTATTTTTTTGCGAAGGGAGCAAACTATAGTTTTTTAATAACCTGTAAAGCCAATGTACATTCTGCACATTTAAGAGGGTAATTAATATATAACCCACACGATTCAAAAAAAAAATTGATTGTTTTTGAAATGTATGCTTTGTACTTGTTTGTATATTGCATGGTGCCCGGTACTTGAGCCTTAGACCTAAGGGTGAATGTTTTAAATTATTTTGGGTATGTATGGTTGTAATATTTTTTTTTAAAATAGGGTCTGCGTGTCTTGCCTTCTCTCCTCTTCTTGATGTACATTCTTTTCTCATCTCATTCCCCTCGAATGTAAATCGAGGTTTCTAAATTTGTTAATGTAAAATTAGTTTAATATTAATTTTATTGTAAATTTAGAATGATGTTTTTGTAATGTACTTGGAGTTGGAGCAAAGGACGAGGCAACCATACTTGAAGACTCAAGATGCTTATTACAGGACCCCTAGGTGACCCACCGATTCCTCTAGGCTCGAGGAAATCAGTTTTAGTTAGGCCATGTACCGGCACGTTTAATATTTTGTTTAGAATGCATGCTAAGGTTGAATGTTGAATAACATGCCAAACAATGTCATTCTAACAAAGATAATAATCTGATGAGACATTAAATAACAAACCCCTCAACTAAGTATATTAAGTCACCTCTGCCTTCCATCACCATGGTTTTAATCAAACCACTGTTCGTCGAAACCTTGTTCGCCAAAGCGAAGGGTACACTTCTACCAGTGGGNTGCTGGGAATGAAGGAAATTCAGTTTGAAGGAGAGATTAACCAGTCCTAGTTTGAAGGAGAGAATGTTGGAATAACAAACCAGGACTGTTATTTACCTGGTCTTCAGCAAAGAAGTGGCGTGTGGGCTGGTCTTTAGCAAGTATGACTAGTTAAGTTGTAGTTGTTAATTTGACCAATTCTTTCTCCTGTTTTATCGGAAGTAGTTGTTGTTTTGTTTACTTAAAATTCTATAAATGTAGCAAGTATTTTTATTGAATAAAATATGAGATTAGATTGTTGTTTGACGTCTTACTCATTGAGAGCACTTTCAGTTTTGTCAATACTTATTTTTGTTCATACGTCTCTTAGAGGCAACAGGAACATCAGAGGATTAGTCTTGTGGGTTTCGATATATCAAATCCACCCTTTCCAATTAAATCATATTCCTCTGATATATCATTTGTTGCTTGCTGAATTTCGAGAGAACTGTATTTAATAGAATCCTTGATATACAACTCAGTCCTCAGCCCACCTGCAGCACAAAGAACAGGAGCTCCTGAGGATCTCTTCCGGAAGAGATTCTTATGCTGTGGAATTTTTGTACTCTGAGAAGGTGAAGAAAGTTGCTGACCTGATTTTTCTTGCTTAGAGTGAGTCCATGGAAAGCAATGCTCCCGTGAACCATAAATGGATGAAGAAATCAAATCGCTATCCGAGGAGCCGTGGATTTGAGGATAGCTTTTAATACTGGAGATAGACTGCTGATCAGGATTTTCTGCAGGTTGAGTATTCTGTTGGGGAACTGATTCTGACATGGAGTAAACCAACTTGTGCTCTATAAGTGCATCAGTTTCATTTGTTGTATGAGATCTCAAGATTTGCACAGCCAAGCTATCTTGAATTAATGCAAGCTTTGAAGGTATTTGTTTCAGATAGAACCTTTGATCCCTTCTCAGATGCCTGCAGGATTTGCAAGTTACAAGGAAAAATTGAGCACCTAATTAATACAGAATTTGGATGTGTTTTCAATCATAAATATGAAAGTATGACCTTATAGACTTCTTGACTCGGAACACAAGAATAGAATAAAGAGAAAACAATTACCTATCAAGTATAACCCAAGTTGCTTTACACGCTAAAACCTCTTGCACAATAACCTTCCTAAGGGGTGCTGCAGCAGTAACTTTAACTTCAATGCAGACCTAAACATGATCATATATATGGGAATTACAAACAAAATCGAAGAATAACCATGAAAAACTGTCTGTTTCCCTAATATGAAATTTGTTATACAACACAATTACACGTACAATTGCCAGAAGGAAAAACGATTTCTAATCATATGGTGACCATACAAGGTATTAATCTGTCCATTGATAGCAACAGAACTAGAGGCCCTTATTGACTAATATTCAAACCATCTATAGCATATATTACCCCATCATCATTACACGTCTCAGCACTTTGAAGAAGCATAGTTGCATATGCATCCGCTTTCGTTGTAACTTCTTCCTCCATAGCACGAACACTCGTTGCAAAATTATCAGCACATGCCTTGGCCTGGTAACCCACTATACCAACCCAAAACAAGAAAATGAATAAACAGCGTATTTAGGGGTTGATAAAAAGCACACCTTTAAGGAATCATAGAGGGATTAAAAATTTTGGGAAACATCTACGTCATTCTATAGCGAGGCGAGGCCCTCACTTAAACCTTGGGACTGAAGAGGATTCAAACTTGGGATCGTGTGCCCTAACCACAAGTCCTACCATTTGAGCTACACGAGAGTGGGTTACACTTTTATACTCATTTAAGTGAAAAAATTGTTACTAAACTGATGGGTTAAGTTGAGAACAGGTAAGCATGATAGTCTAAGTAAATAATAGTGTTGATATAATTATGAAAGCAATCCATCAAAGACTTACAGGGGTGAGTGACCCTATGCAAAACGCCAAGCACAAGAAGGGTATCACCTCCACGAAGAATGTCACCTCTCAGTCTAATTCTATCCACAGTGAGCTTAAGCTCATCTTGACCACGTTCCTTAGTTGCATCATATGCTATCACAACATAGGATGGTGAAGCAAGAGTCTCCATATATGAAACTAGGGACACAACAAATCAACTGGCTAGCTAATTTTTTTATTTTTAAGATAATAGTAACGACGAGTAGGGGGTTTTAAAGAGCGTAAACAGTTCAAAGGGTTTCGTAGAGCATGGGAAAATTGACGAAGGATTCGATCGGCTACCCAATCATCTGAATTTCGATAGAATTATCAAGTTTTGTTTATTTGTTTAAACATTTCTCTCTTCCTCTTTGACATTAGTGAGAGTACATTCTGATATGCTTCGAGATATTCTTTTGGATACTCGAATCACATTATACATATACCGGAAATTGGCACCAATTGCTTGCCGTCCAAGCCAAAGACAAGGAGAAGATTGCGAGGCGCTTCGTGAATCGTGACAGAAAACTGCATTGTGTTTGCGTTAAGATTACGTTTCTCTCTTCCTGATTGACATTGGCTGAGTTACTGACATTATCTCACAAAATGCTTATTATAAGCAGACACTACCGTGCACAGCTGGGCGCCCATGCCTATACCGCCCCTCATATTACGACCAAATTGGATTCGAACAGTGAAGTAACAGAGCTAAAAAATTTTTGCTTATTAGAAATGGCAGTGTCAATAATAAAATTAAAATGTTTGGCTATCGTTTGGTTCCTTTTGGAAATTCTACTATTAGTATTCCCAATAAAATTAAATAGTAAAATAATAAAAACTCATAATATTATTCAATCTTTTTTAACCCCTTAAATTTATTAATTTAATTAAATACCTCTAAATATTTTTTTTAGAAATTATAAAAATACCTCAACAACCCACGTTTATCAGATTCCGATCACCACTGCTGAAAGATGACCGGAATCTGGTATATCGGCATACTATCGACTGAATCTGGAGACGGTAGTGCATCGATCTAGCCTTTTTCGGCCAAATCCACGGTGGATCTAGCCGATAAAAGTCAAATCTTTGGCTGTAGCTAGTCGTCAACGAAATATGTTGGCATTCGTTGACGAGCAAATACGGCCAGATCTGACCGTCGATCTAGCCTTTTCCGGCCAGATCCACCGTGGATCTGGTCGGAAAAGGCCATATCGACGCACGACCGGTAAGATCCAGTCGTGGATCTGGTCGAAAAATGTCATATCGACGCACGACCGGTAAGATCCAGTCGGTCATGCGTCGATACGGCCACTCGGGCCACCTTCCGGTGGTGGTGGCTGGCTGTCCATATTTTTTTGGTGGGTTGGGGGTGTTTTTGTTAACTTTTAATGTTTTATTATAGGGGTGTTTAGTAAATAAATAAATATAGGGGGTATTTTTATTAATTTTTAAATCTTATATCGTAATACCCGCTCGATTCAATTTTTTTTAACTTTTTCTACAAAATTTTTCTAAAAAGTGTAAAAAAGTAAACCAAACGAAGTTTTAATATTTATTTTTCACTTTCAAAGGGAGTTTTGGAGGTGCATAATGGATAACGTGAATATAGAGTATACACATAATGTGATATGTTTATTATATTAGAGATTTTTTTCTTTAAACTTTTAATTTAAATCTTTGATATTACGTTTTTTATTCCGTTTAAAGACGCTTTATTTACGAAAGAATCAAGACGAATTTCAAATATATAAAAATCATTAATAAGTTCATTGTTATTTCACTTAAACATATCAACAAACCAAATCTTCAAATTAACTAAAATACATGATGAAGACCCTTTGATCGATCNCTTTCACGGTAGTTCACACAAACCAGCATGTAAAATAAACTACATTTATCTTTATCAATGGTAGAACACTTCTATTCATCAATCACACAAACCAGTCCCACCAAATTGACTGGATTTTATTTCATCAACTCAACTCCATTCAACACATTCAAAAAAATTGAAAAAAAAAATTGAAAAAGGAAAGTGTTTAATTACCAAGACGAAGAACAAGCATAGAACAGGAGTCCAGAAGAACAACAGCGCGAAGACAAAGAAGACGTAGTAACCAGATGGAAGACGAAGAAGATGGTAATGGCTGGCTGGGTGTTTTAATTTCTGAAACTTCCCCAAATTTTTTAACCTAAAACGCGATAATTTTTTTTAAAATTTTAATAACATTGTGGACGGGCGTCCATAAGTAATGGACGGTCGTCCATTAAGTATGGACGGTCGTCCTTTACATAAGGGACGGCCGTCCAACCCTTATGGACGGCCATCCATAATGAATGGACGGGAGTCCATTAAGTATGGACGCCCGTCCACAGTGAAAGGACGACCGTCCATAATTTTTGGACGGCCGTCCAAAGAGTTTCTTTTTTATTTGTAAAAGCAAAATAATGGACGGGCGTCCATTTCTTACGGACGCCCATCCAAAAGTAAGGGACAGCCATCCACAATTGGTTGACAGGCGTCCCCAAAGAATTTTTTTTTTCATATTTGGGTGAAGGACGGGCGTCCATTATTTGTGGGCGGCCGTCCATAATGGATGGACGGCTGTCCCTAAGGTTTTAAAAATTTTTTAATTGTATTTTAATTAGGGACGGACGTCCTTTAAATGGGGACGCCAGTCCCTTTTATATGGACGGGCGTCCATGTGAGTGAACGGCCGTCCAAATATGATGGACGGCCGTTCACTAGAAAAAAATTGTAAAAAAATTGAGACGTGCGTTACACGTAGGCCAGTACAGAAATTCGGTGTAACTTTTTCGGTGTCTATAGTGTTATTGGTGATCGAATACAGTATCACGACATATCTTAATCTTCTAAAATTGGTAATTGTCGTTTTGCTTTGTAGGAGACAACGAAGAAAAAAAAAAAAAATTGCTTAGAAAATATCTGATTGATGAGACTTAATCAATTTCTTTCCTTGACGTGAGAGTATCATTTACTCTTAAAAAATATGTTCCTAAAATTTCAAAGATATTATCAATCATATTATCCATGAAAGGCTTAAATTCGTTCACCAAAAAAGAAAAATGATTGTGGTTTTGACAAGTCTTTGTTAGAGAACAAATTGTTGGAAAAAAACAAAAAAAAAAGGACCGTTAATTGGAAAGGAAAAGATTACGGCATGCTTCAAATAATTTGTGGCTTGCGTATAGGATAAACAACCTATCATTTATTCTATCACAGATATTATCCTCGAAAAGATGTCTAAGTAGAATAATAGAAAACAATCAACACATGTAGTTTAATTCTGAAAGTTATGGACGACTTGTCATCCTTTACATAAAAGAGAGGACACATATTTGGTCATTATTTATCAATTATCATCATGGATTTAGTTAATTAAGATGTGAGGGTTCGAACTTGTTAATCTTCCCTAGACTAAGCCCAAAAATGTGAACCAAAACTAAAAATCCAAGAGCTGTGATTGAGTTAATTTAGATGTGAGGACTCGGACTTAAAACTTTTACTTTATTATCATGTTAAGAACCTATTGTTTTATATTCTTAGAATTAAAGGTTAGTAAATAACATTAAATATACCACCACATGATTGGTAGTTTCTTAAATGGTTTTCACAAGAAAACAATTGCTGAATATTTTATATTTGATCATATACCTTATTAGGAAAAGAAAGCTTTTCTTCTTTTATCAACTTTATTAATAATACTCATTAGCCTAAACGCTAAGAACTTCCAGAGGTGACACTCTCACTGCTGGCTGCTGCTGTGATTTGTGTATCTTAATTGTTCTGGGAAGTCAGAAGAAAAAGATCAATCTTGTTCTACTTTATCTTTATGATAAAGAAAGATAAATAAGACTAAACAACAAAAACAGAATAATAATAGATATTATATGGGCCCAGAGTAAACAGAGGAACTCAAAGACATGAACATGTTACATGCAATAATATAAAACGAACTTAATTTAGCTAACTTCATCTGATCAAACGATCATGCAATCCTCAATCTCTGTTGATGAAGTGATACCTTGCTGGAAATGCAATATGTTCCAGTTTGCAGTTTAAATATTTTGGCACCAATGGAATCAATTGCTGCAGCGGGTGTGTGTACGCTGCAGTTTGGTGCAATTTTTGAATCTTGGTTTAGGTGTGATTAAGACTTGTAATTGATGTATTTTGAGTATGCTTTAATCAGTTGTTAGAGTTCAAATTTAAATTTGTAATTTGTCTCTGCTGTAGTTGTTGTAACAGTGAGAGTTTAGGTTGCACTGGTGTGTATATTCTCTGTCCTCTGTAATGAAAATGTATTCCACTTCTCTTCCAGTTTTTTCCTTTCTTTGTAAGTCTCCGGCCATAACTGTTGGAATAACAAACCAGGATTGTTATTTACCTGGTCTTCAGCAAAGAAGTGGCGTGTGAGCTGGTCTTTAGCAAGTATGACTAGTTAAGTTGTAGCTGTTAATTTTACCAATTCGTTCTCTTGTTTTATCGGAAGTAGTTGTTGTTTTGTTTACTTGAAATTCTATAAATGTAGCAAGTATTTTTATTGAATAAAATAATGAGATTAGATTGTTGTTTGACGTCTTACTCATTGAGAGCACTTTCAGTTTTGTCAATACTTATTTTTGTTCATACGTCTCTTAAAGGCAACATTGGTATCAGAGCTTTGTTGCGATCTTACAACTATGGCATCCAATCTGGTGCAACTTCAAGTTCCGCTGCTGAAAAAAGACAATTTTGGGAGATGGTGTACCCAATTCAAAGCTTTATTTGGATCACAAGATTTGTGGGATATTGTCAACTTGGGGTTTGCCGATCCTACTCCAGAAGAGGAAGAGACTTATACCCCAGAACAGAGGAATGCTCTCAAGGATCAATGCAAGAAGGATAAGAAAACTCTCTTTCTACTCTACCAAGGGTTGGATGATGACACATTTGAGAAAATTTCAGAGGCTACTTCCAGCAAAGAAGTATGGGACAAACTGACTATAATCTATAAAGGAGTAGAACGAGTGAAGAAGCAACGTCTATAGACATTGCGAGGAGAATTTGAAACTGCCCACATGAAGGAAGGAGAGGCTGTTTCTGATTATCATTCACGCTTAATCAGCATTGTGAATCAAATGAAACGAAATGGTGAAAAGCTTGAAGATGTTAGGGTGATTGAAAAGATGTTGCGTTCTCTCACTCCAAGTTTTGAACATGTAGTGGCGACAATTGAAGAATCAAAGGATCTAGAGATCATGACCACCGAAGAGCTGTTGGGGTCATTACGAGTACATGAGCTACGTATACGCAGGCATGATGAGGTTATGGGCTGTGAACAAGCCTTGGAATCGAAGATGTCATTTGATGGTGGCGGACGGGGCAGAGGACGTGGTAGTCTCACTTCTCGAGGACGAGGAAGGGGACGTGGGAGTCCAGCAAAACCCGAAATCTCCAATTTGGGGAAGGAAGATCTGGAGTACAATGTTGGAATTGCAAACATTATGGTCATTATGCCTCTAAATGTCCAAGCAAGGAAGATAAAACAGCAAACTTTGCTGAAGGTTCAAACAATGTCGAAGATGAGCCATCACTGTTATTTGTTCACGATGAACCACTTGAAGGGGGAGATTTATGGTACTTGGATTCGAGAGTTAGTAATCATATGTGTGGACGAAAGGACGTATTCGTCGAACTACATGATCACATCTGCGGACTAGTGACTTTGGGAGACGCCTCCAAATTAGCAGTAGCTGCGAAAGGGAAGATAGCAATTTATCAAAAGAATGAAGCAAAAACATTTATCTCTGATGTGTATTACATTCCCAAATGAAAAGCAATATTCTGAGTCTTGGACAACTGCTTCAAAAAGGACACATCATTCATATGGAGAAAAACCTGCTAGAGTTGAGAAGTGCAGAAAGGTATCTTATTGCACGGGTCAGAATGACCAAGAACAGAATGTTCCCTTTGTATCTCAACACAAAGCTTGAACGATGTCTTGCAAGCATTATTGAAAGTGAAGCTAGAAGATGGCACTTACGTTTTGGGCATCTTCATTTTCATGGATTAAAGTTGTTATCTACAAGAAGTATGGTTCGTGGTTTACCAAGTCTAGAAGTTCCAAACCATATTTGTGCAACCTGCATCATTGGAAAACAAGCCAGATCACCTTTTCCCACTGGAGGTACATGGCGCGCACAAGAGACTCTACAACGTGTGCACACTGATATTTGTGAGCCATTAGAACCAAAGTCTTTTGGAGGTAATCGATACTTTATAACGTTTATTGATGATTTCAGCAGGAAAGTATGGGTGTACTTTTTAAAGGAGAAGTCTGCTACTTTTGATGTTTTCAAGACATTCAAAGCCTATTCTGAGACCGAGAGTGGAAACAAGCTTGTAACAATCCGGTCAGATCGCGGAGGAGAGTACACCTCTCTTGTTTTTCAGAATTTCTGCAAAGAACATGGCATTCAACATCAACTCACAGCTGCATATACACCTCAGCAAAATGGGATTGCTGAACGAAAGAACCGTACGATCATGGACATGACAAGAACACTCCTCAAGGAGAAGAATCTGCCAAAGGTTTTTTGGGCAGAAGCAGTAGCTTGCCCAGTGTACCTACTCAACCAATGCCCAACCAAAAGTGTGAAGAACAAAACACCCCAGGAGGCATGGAGTGGGTTCAAGCCAAGTGTGGCACATTTGAAGATTTTCGGGTGTGTTGCTTATGTCCAAATACCAGCTCCAAGACGTAAGAAACTTGATGATCGTGGTGAAAGATGTGTATTTGTAGGCTACAGTGAGGAATCTAAAGCCTATAAGTTATATAACCCACAGACAAAGAAGATGATAATAAGCTGAGACGTGGTTTTTGATGAGTCAGCCATTTGGGAATGGGATAACAATGCAGATAACAATGTAGTTCACAAAAGAATATTAGCTCTTGATGATAATATGCCAATATCCACAATGGAGGTAGTGACACCTCCATCTCCAATTCAGACCCCCCCACCTGCATGTGGACAAGAAGAAGCAGGCACCCCTGCATTGGTGTCACCTTATATTGGTGAAACTCCTCCTAGTGGTGAAACTCCACCTCTTAGAACTAAGAGGTTACGTGATGTGTATGAGGAGTGTGATGAAGTAATTATTCATGATGATGAAGATGAAGAAGAGACAAATCTTTTTTGTCTCTATGTGGACCAAGAACCTCTTAATTTTAGAGAGGCAAATGAACAAGAATGCTGGAGAGTTGCTATGGCAGAAGAACTGCAGGCCCTTGAGAAGAACGATACATGGTCAATGACTGAACTCCCACCACAAAAGAAGGTCATTGGTGTAAAATGGGTGTTCAAAATTAAAAGAAGTGCAGATGGGACAATCAGTCGCTATAAAGCGAGACTTGTAGCCAAGGGATACAAGCAGAAGCATGGAATCGATTATGAAGAGGTATTCGCTCCTGTTGTACGACTTGATACTGTGAGATTGATCATCTCACTTGCTGCAGCTCAAAAGTGGAACATTTATCAACTTGATGTCAAGTCTGCCTTCTTAAATGGCATACTTGAAGAAGAGGTTTATGTACACCAGCCAGAAGGATAAGTGGTACCTGGAGAAGAGAATAAAGTGTATCGTTTGAAGAAAGCTCTTTATGGGCTTAAACAGGCTCCAAGAGCTTGGAATGAACGGATTGATGGTTATCTATTGGCTTATGGTTTTACCAAATGCCCATATGAACAGTCAATATATACCAAGCAAGGTGAAAATGGTAGTCTTCTGATACTCTGTATTTATGTTGATGATCTGCTCTTTACAGGGAATTGTGAAACTTTGTTTGAACAATTTAAAGAGGATATGTTCAAGGAGTTTGAGATGACAGATAATGGCATCATGTCATTTTTTCTTGGCATTCAAATGCAGCAAATGAGTGAAGGAATCTTCATGTCGCAAAAGAAGTATATGAGCGAGATTCTTGAGAAATATGGCATGAGTAATTGTGCTACTATCAATACCTCGGTAGTGACAAATCACAAGTTGACTAAAGAAGGTGAAGGGAGTATAGTTGATCCGACTCTTTACAAGAGTTTAATTGGGAGCCTTAGATATCTCACTATGACAAGGCCCGATCTGGTATATGGAATGAGTTTGCTGAGTCACTACATGGAGACTCCCAACGAATCACACTGGCAGGCCGCAAAAAGAATGCTGCATTATGTAAAGGGGACGATGAATTTCGGGTTGTTTTATGCTTATGGAGAGAAGTTCAAATTAATTGGGTATTCTGATAGCGATTGGGGAAGAGATCCTGAAGAGAATAAGAGCACTACAGGCTATGTGTTTTTTTGTTCATCAACTGCTTTCTCATGGTCTTCAAAGAAGCAGAGCATTGTAGCACTATCTTCATGTGAAGCTGAATATGTTGCAGCAGCTTCCACAGTTTGTGAAGCAATATGGTTAAAGAATTTGTTAGCTGCCCTCAAGCATCCTCAACAAGAGTCAATTACAATTTATGTGGATAATATGTCTGCAATGAAATTGGCTAAAAATCCAGTACAGCATGGGAGAAGTAAACATATTGACACCAGATTCCATTTTATTAGAGATCACGTTAGGAAGAGAACCATTGAACTAGTCTACTGTCACACTCTTGAACAAGTGGCTGACATATTTACAAAGCCTTTATCTTACAAGGGTTTTTCGGTGATGAGAAGCATGCTGGGAATGAAGGAAATTCGGTTTGAAGGAGAGATTAAGCAGTCCTAGTTTGAAGGAGAGAATGTGGGAATAACAAACCAGGACTGTTATTTACCTGGTCTTCAGCAAAGAAGTGGCGTGTGAGCTGGTCTTTAGCAAGTATGACTAGTTAAGTTGTAGTTGTTAATTTGACCAATTCTTTCTCCTGTTTTATCGGAAGTAGTTGTTCTTTTGTTTACTTAAAATTCTATAAATGTAGCAAGTATTTTTATTGAATAAAATAATGAGATTAGATTGTTGTTTGACGTCTTACTCATTGAGAGCACTTTCAGTTTTGTCAATACTTGTTTTTGTTCATATGTCTCTTAAAGGCAACAATAACACCAACAGTCTCATTACGTTCAACACAAAAGCATCAACCAACTCACACACACATATTTTTTTTCAATTCCAACTAAATATCAAAGTCTAGCAATGTGCAGGATGAGGAAGCTTGCACTTGCCAGGGAGCTTCATGGCGAGGTTTGGATCAATACCTAGTGAACGCACCACGTTGGAGTTTTTATAGGAGCAAAGGCATCGCATATCTGCATGCGTGAGAGCTGAACAACACTTTGCAGTCGGCTGGGTTGGGTTTGGAGGTGTCACAGACGGCTTGCACGCCATCAAACCAGCAGCTGGCATATTGCATATGGTTTGAGCATCGGTAGATATGGCTGTCATCAATACAACCAAAGCGAAGAGCTTGTTCGTGAAGCTCACCATATCCATATCTCTCTTTTGGTGAAAATATTATTTTGGGTTATGGATCTTGGGAGATCTTTGTGGGTATGGTGTTTGTGTAGGAGAAGAATGTTAGATAGTCTGTGAATGAGCATATAAGCATTTTTGAGAGAAAACCATATAATCTAAATAAATTTCCTATGTAATTGTGATATTAAATAAACTGACAGTAGATAAGTCTAACCCAAACAGACTTTAAGACTTTTAATGGTTGTAGGGCGATTGGTAAGCTGTCAGACTCGAGTCAATCCACTAATTAAGACTAACAATAACCTGCTGTGGCAACATGATGAACTCAATTAATGACAATTAAATAACAGTAAAAGAAAGATTTTTGTTAGTAAAAATGCTTTAAGCGTTATTTATCATGACATCGGACCCGTGACATTATCATGCTAACATCAGCATGAGAAAAAAATCCAAATAATTTCGGGTGCATTTGTTTCTCTATTTTTGTCATATCCTATTCCTATCATTTCTAAAATACACATTTGTTTCCCTATTCTGAAAATACTATTATATTTTATTCAAGTATTTTTAAACCCTCTAAGTTTGTTAATTTAATAAAGATCCCAAAAAAAAGTTTAGAAATTGACAAAAACACCCCTATCCACCCACATTTGCCAGATTTCAGCCACCACCATCGGAAGACTGCCGAAATTTGGTATAATGGTACACTACCAACTGGATCTGGCTAGTAGTGCGTTGATATAGCCTTTTTCGGGCTAAAGATCTGGCCATTGACCGTCGTTGACGACTAAACGCAGCTAGATCTAGCTGTCAATGGCTAGATCTAGTCATAGATTTGACATTTTCTGATCAGATCCATGGTGGATCTGGTTGTAAAAGGCCATCTTAGTGCACGATCAGCCAGAACCAGCCGATCATGTGCCGATACTACGACTCTGGCCACCCTACGATGGTGGTGGCTGGCTGCCAGTATTTAATGGGTGGGTGGGGTGTTTTTGTAATTTTTAACTTTTTTATTACAGGGGTGTTTAGTAAATTAACAAATCTAGGCAGTGTTTTAGTTAATTTTTAAATTCTACCTCCTTATTACCACCCAACTCTTTCTTTTTCAAAAATACTAAAACAAATGCACCCTTCAAAATTCAATAACAAAAACCAAACTAAATGCCAAATCCATCAGCTAGGAAGTTGTAGGTACATTAGAGGGAATAGATAATCTTTAATATACATCGAAACGATCATGTAGCTGATTAAAGTCATATGAGATAATGTAAGTATTTTGTCAACTTATGATTTCAGTGTGGTAACAATGGTTTTGATGTGGAGACTTCATTATTGTTTCATGCACAATCATTTCAATTGTTTCTAGTTTCATGACTCTCTGTTGATGTGACCACTCTTAGTTATGTCTGCTTTCATGTATGTCACGTGGGCACATCAGAGTCCGTGTGATGACACTATTCCAACCAGATTTTCTTGTACACTTGTCATGTTATTATTCGATGCTAGGATCTTATTCTTACCTGAGATATGTGTAAGTGGTCCTTGTACATTTGTCATTAGCCCATTTAGTGTACTGCAAAAATTTGTTTTCTTTTTCAATGGTCCCATGAAAGTTTGGTAGAAACTTTCCTAAAATGGACAAACACAAAAAGGTGCATGTTGGCTGGCTGTCCCCTTGCATTGTTGAGCAAGTTTCCTTTATATTCGTCTTCAACAATGCATTTCTTTTGAAGCCTAAATATACCTCTGAAAGTTCTCTGCATATTCCTTGAGGTTTATTTGTTTTTCCTTCAGGTTTCATATGCTTTGGTAAGCTTAGAAATACATTGTTTTAACCTTGTTTATTTGAGTGTTTGCAACGTGGTTCCTTTGGTAGTTGCTTGAAGGAGTTTCAAGCTACTGGAAATGAAGTGCGTCTTCAACGTTGAACCTTGAGAGGAGCTCAAGGGTGACTAGGTGGCCTCGTGGAAGAGAAGCTAGCTATGGTGGCTTGATGTTCAACCAAAGAGTGAAGATTGAAGTGTTGACTAAATAGGGATTGTTTGCAACTAATACTTGTCTTTGTCTTTGTCTTTGTAATTGAACGTATAAGTATTTCATAGTGGATTAGCTTCATCTGGACTTGGTCCCATGGATGTAGGCAAGTTGCCGAACCATGTAAGAATGAGTTGTGTTCCTTATTTTCTATCAATAATGATTTGCTTGTGATGATAATCCATTAAACAACTCATTAAGCACTAAATGAACAAGTGAACCCATTTCGTTTAAGTTTTAACAACTTGGTAAAAGGTTTAAAACTTTCAGACAAGAATTGAAATTAAACTTGAAGATCATTTTGGGAAGTCTATAGTAGAATTAAGCTTGAACATTGGGTAGTTTACTTAAGGAAGTTAGATTCTCAAACATTGGGATGTAAACACACTGAGAGATTCAGCATCCTTCAATAAGGTTGAACACTTTGGACAAAAACAAAGAAACATCATCCAAAGGTCCATAACAGACTAGTGTATCAACACATCCAATTATTATATATAAATAACCCATGAACAAATTACACAATAAAATTGTAGGTAAAATGGCTCTTGTTAGTACACATATCATATCTTTGTAGAACAGGTATCAAATTTTGTGTGATCCTCCCAGAAATAATATAAACAAAAACAAACCAAACTAAATTTAACATTAATCAACATCTTGTCATTACAAAAGCACCAAAACAACAAATTGGTAAACCAAACACACTCACAATCACCCATACTATTACTTGCGGAGACATTATATCCATTTCCCTTCCACTACAAATCCCAAACCTTTGTAAAAAATCACAAAGTTAAGCTCAAATTAACAAAATGTTAGACATCCAAGATCAAAATCACACAAAAACACTTGAATTCAAGAATCAAAATAGGTAATTTATAAACTTATTTACTCACAAAGTTAGGGTTTTAGGTTGCTTAGCTGCTCAGTTTCCTCCTCCAATAGTGTCATCTGACTTGGGTCGGTTTCACTTTATAGAGAGAGAGTGTGAGTGGTCACTTGTGTCAACTAGAAATTGCTGAATGTTTGAATAGAGATATCTCAAACAAAATGGTTGGGCTAAGCATTTTCTTAATAGAGAGTAACTCTTTGAATATTGTATGTCCTGAAAGGTCTCCTTATCTGGGATTGAACCTTTGTTCATGAGCAAAAAAAGTGAAGGTGGTGCCAAGATGTTAAAATCACTTCTCTGATTTATGATGCCATTTGGGTAGATGAGCTACCACAAATTTTGTGGTCATATAGAACCACAACCAGAAGCTTGACAAGAGAGATCCCATTCTCGCTTGCTTATGGGTGCGAGGCAATGGCCCCGGTTGAAGTTGGGGCTAGCTTATTACGGAGAGAGGTTTTCGACAAAGATAGTAATGAAGAGCTTATACACTTAAAGCTAGATCTAATCAAGGAACATTGGACTAAATCCCAACTGAGAATAGCCTCGTATCATCAACGGGTAAAAAGGTACTTCAACTTGAAAATAAGAAACAAAAATTTCAAGGTACGGGATCTAGTCTTAAGGAAAATTGTTCCTGGAACAAAAGACACGAACTTGAGGGCACTTAGGCCTACATGGGAAAGTCCTTTCAGGATCTTAGAGAGCCTCGCATCAAGAACTTTTCACTTGGAATACCTAAATGGCGCAGTTATCTTGCGACCATGAAATGCTGGGCATCTGTGGAGGTATTACCAGTAAACAGCTCGGGTCTAGTTCTTTAGTTTTAAGTTTATGCTTTCTTATTATTATCATAAGTTGTAAGGCCACTTACAGTCAAAACGTTATCAATAAAGAATAAGTATTATTCAACAATTAAGCTGTGTTTTAAGTGTTCGTTGAGGTTGCAATCTAAGTAGTTACTACCGAAGAAACTTGAAGTCTAGAGCTCGAAAAGACATCCTAGTTGTATAGCCATGCTATAATTCGATCTCAACAAGGGTGTATTGCCCAACTTGATTAAAAAGCAACTTGAAAAACAACCGAGAAAAGCATGTCAATGAAAAAGCAAATATAACTTGATGACTAAGATTCGAGATGGGAAACTGGCCTACCTCGATGTAGTCACAAGAAAAGACTCTCAGGGTTTGTCGAAAAGTTCTTAAGAAAGCGGGTACTGTATAACTTAAGAGCAAAATTCGTTTTTATCAGTTAGTTTGGTTAGATGGACTATTATGACTTCGTAGAGGAATTACAAATAGCAATAATGAAAAAGTAGCAAAACATATTTGTAAAATTTTCTTTATTAATTGTTCGATTGACACTACAAAAAAAAAAAAAAAAAAAAAAAAAACTATAGGGCTAAGGAAAAATTGAGGGAGTTTAATCCAACGTTGAAGTTGAAAGAGGATCTTTTGGTGGCTCGTTTAGAGCAAGAGTGTCTTTGGCATCCTCGGGGACTTTGTTGGGAACCGAGTTGGAACAGGCGAGGTCACATCCTCGTTCACAGGCTTTTCCTTTTCGACCTCATCCCCGCCATCCAAGCCTCTGTTGAACTTAGAGCTGTATGAATAAACAAACTCCAACCCTATAGCATCGACTTTCATCATTTCTATCTCTATTTGGTATTCTCGGGGAAGGAAGGAAAAATCGAGTAAAGGATAGCTCTCCCACATGTGTTGGGCCTGGTAGACCGACGTATCCCGGGCATGGTCCTCTACCTCCTCTTTCAGATGAGCAACGTTTGCTGCAGCCTCCTTATAGTCTCCTCGGGTAGTTGACAACTCGACATCTTGGGATATCAGTTGGCTTTCCAAGCTTCTGATGTTGGCCTAAGCAGCAATAAGCTCAGAGGTTAGCTTGTTGTTGAGACCCCGCAAATGTTTCAAGTCTTTGGTTGCTTTCTCCTTGGCAACCTAGACTTGAGAGAGCTTGTCCTCGAGCTTCCTCTTCTTGAGAGCCAAGGGTTTGGCTTGCTCCGTCTTAAGTTGATTAAGCTCGTCTTTCAGTGTCCCGTTCTCCTCCTCTAACTTCTTGGTCCTCACCT